TAAAAACAGTGTCAGAGGGACGCCTGGGTGGCTCAGTCGGTTAAGCATCTGCCTTCAGCTCAGGTCATAATCCCAGGGTCCTGGGATTGAGCCCCACATCGGGCTCCCTGCTCAGCGGGGAGCCTGCTTCTCCCTCTGCCTCTGCCTCTCTCTGTCTCTCATGAATAAATAAATAAAATCTTAAAAAAAAAAAAAAAAGAACAGTGTCAGAATGAAACTGTTTACTTTAGAAACTTGTGTTTCAAAACTGACTTTTGGTATTCATACAGTTGGCCTGAGTTTTGATATTCAGACAATTGGCAGGTGTACTTTTTAAACTAGCTGTTTCCTAAGGTAAAGATGATAAACTTGGGGGAGAAGTTCATTCATTTGTCACGTATTAGTACAAATATTTACTCAACTGTCATGGTGAAAATGGACATGTGTTTAATGTTAAGGCTTTGATCTCTTACGTAAGATGATATTTACAAATTTCTTTATGGAATATTTACTTCTTTGATGACTTTCCTGATTCTTTTCATCTAGAATGTCCAGAATTTCCAGTGTTGTTATAGTTTATGAGCATATAACTTTGGAGTATTACTCTTTTAGTAAGATGGGAGTTTGTCTGCCTTGTGCCGAGATGAGTACTCCTGATCAAACAGTATTGTTGCCACAGGCATGAATATTTGGCCGACTGTTGAGAATCAGCAAAGCAGACAGTGCACGTCACTCCTAAGTTAGAAGAGGTGGTTTGGTTTACATGTTGGCATATTTTAAAAAGTCTTGAATTTGACTGTTTTGTTTTCCTTGTAAGAGAACTTACATGTTTGGCAAATTCCTGGACTCTAATTTGGAAATTCATTCTCTTGTCATTTTCCTGAAACATTCCTTCATCATAGCTTTGATTATAGAGAAATCACTGTCCTCTACTGTTTTACAGGCTCACGTAAACATTGGAATTCATTCCCTAGCCTTTGTATGTGTATTTAAACCAAAATGAATGCTGTCTGTGATATGACATTCTCTGCCGGTTTGAATCACTGCTTTCCTGATAAGCCACAGTTACCTCTAAATAATTCCCATGGAAATAATGTTTATTCAGGTAGAGCGCTAACTGGGTTGTTTCAGTCTATGCAACCCTGGTCTGAAGGAAATAAACCATTCTTTGGATGTCGATTAGGGTCTTAGAGTAGTTGTTTGATTCCTTGTATTCTTAAAATACTACCTGTTATATCGTGGAAGGCGGGGAGTGAAGTAAGTGAAATCCAGACGCCCTGAAGGTAACGTTTTTACTGCGCCAGTGGCTGCGCTGCACGTCCCGCATTTCATCTTTTGAGTAATAAACTGCTGCTTTGAGAAGTTCCAGTTCTGTAACTGAGGTGGTTTTTTTTCGGCTGTAAAGATGTATTTGAAATCAAGCTCATAAATTCCAGGATTGAAAAGACAATTGAAAGTATAAATAAAAATATGTATAGTTTATTGAAGAAATAATCAAGTAATTTTCTGCCTTGAATTTATACTAGTCACCGTTTTTTGAATTTTATGAAGAAATTCTATTAAAAAATTTTACAACAAGCTTTTTCTTCTTTGTGATTTTTATGTGTTCCCCAAAATAGTATGATGTATTGATTAAACTTTATGTCTACATTTTTGGCAAAAGAGTCTTAGAGATTTTTTTTTCCTTGATTAATTGAATATATTTCACAGAATTTCCCACTGTTTACATTGGATTTCTTCCTTTTAGAGTTGATCTCTCTAATGTGTTAGATCTTCATGCCTTTGACAGTCTTTCTGGAATAAGGTATGTTTTCTGTATTTTGTTGACTTTTATTGTAATGTACTTCTTACTCCACAGTTGTAGAAGTTACAGGAATGATTTATACAGTTGCACCCTTGATTTAAGCTTCTTGTCATTCCTGTGGTGTACAAGATCATTCCTAATGATACTGTTCTTGAAAGTTTTATTAATTGGATGTTTGGAAATCACAATGCATTTTCCTATAGAAATTTTAGTATAAATGGTAGTTAACTTTAGGGATTCATCGTTAATACTTCTCCACCAACCACTGTGTGTAATACTTTCTTTCTATGAGAAAAATGGATGAAATACATAAAAAATTTTAGCTTGGGGTATTGCTACACACTCCTCCTTTCTCCTCAGTGATGGATCACTTTCCTGTTTCTTTCCCTGGAGGGAATCTTTTTGATAAGGGAGAAAAACTTATCTTTCTTCAGTATCATTTTTTTTTAAATCATCTTAGCCATTTTTAAGTGTACAGTTCAGTAGCGTTAAGTATATTCACATTGTTGTGCAATAGATCTACAGAACTTTCTCATCTTGCAGAACTGAAACTCTGTTGAATGACGGCTCTCCCTGTTCCCCTCCCCACAGCCCCTAGCAACCGCCATTCTATTATCTCTTTTTAAGAATTTGCCTACTTTAGGGGACGCCTGGGTGGCTCAGTTGGTTAAGCGTCTGCCTTCAGCTTAGGTCATGATCTCAGAGTCCTGGGATTGAGTCCTGCCTCAGGCTCCCTGCTTGGCTGGGGAGTCTGCTTCTCCCTCTCACTTTGCCCCTCCCCACCACTCATGCTCACCCTCTCTCTCTCAAATAAATAAATAAAATCTTGAAAAAAAAAAAAGAATTTGACTTCTTTAGATACCTTATGCCAATGAAAATGTATGGCATTTGTCTTATTTTAACTGGCTTATTTCACTTAGTCCTCAAGGTTCATCCATGTTGTAGCTTGTGACAGGATTTCTTTCCTTTTAATGCTAAATAATATTCGGTCATATTGTCCATTCATCCACTGATGAACATTTGGGTTGCTTCCATCTCTTGGCCGTTGTGAACAATGCTGCTACGCCATGGGTGTGCAAATGTCTCTTCACGATTCCTGCTTTCATTTCTTTTTACTATTTTGAGGCATGCCATACTGTTCGGCCCAGCAGCTGCACCATTTTCGTTTCCCACCAGCAGTGCACAGGGTTCTGCTTTCTCCATGGACTCGCCAACACTCGGTATTTCCACCTGGTTTTGGTAGTAGCCGTCTTCGTGGGTGTGAGGTGGCAGTTCTTTGTGTTTGTGCTCTGCATTTCTCCAGCAGTTCGAGGTCATGACCAGCTTTTCATGTGCTTAGTGGCCATTTGTAGATCATCTTTGGAGAAATGTCTATTCAAATACTCGGTCCATTTTTTAATCCCATGGTTTGTTGTTGTTTGTGGCTGAGCTGGAGGAGTTTTTTAATATATTCTAGGTATTACCGCCTCATCAGATATGTGATTTGGAAATATTTTCTCCCATTTTCTCAAGTAGTTGAGTCATAAAAGCCTCGTGTGAGAGGTACCCTCCCAGTGCCCAGAGGAAAGGAGCATCCTTATCTCTGAAGACTAAGGTACACACGGAGGAATCACGAAACAGGCCTCTCTGAGTATCTTCCAGGTTACTACACTTGTTTCATACTCTGTCCCATCGTTTCTTTCCACAACCTTCCACTCTTCATCAAACATAGCATAAAAACGCTCAGGTTTAACCGTTTCTTTGGTTCTTCATTTCTTTATGAAGGCTCTTGTGTCACATAAAACTTACATAAATAGGGGTGTCTGACTGTCTCAGTGGGTCAAGTGTCTGACTTGTGGTTTCTGCTCAGGTCCTGATCTCAGGGTCCTGGGATTGAGCCCTGTGTTAGGCTCCCTCTCCCTCTGCCCCTCCCCGCTACACACTCTTTCTCTCTTTAAAATAAATAAATCTTTTAAAAAAAAAACTTACATTAATAAACTTGTACCCTTTTCTCCTGTTAATCTGTGTTTGTCAATCTAATTTTCACGCCCAGTCAGGCACCTAAGAGGGTTGAGGAAAACTTTTTCCTTCTTACACAAGTTGTTGGCAGTTATTTTTAACAACATTAAATATTGAACATAAAGAGCGTGTGATTTTTCAAACATTTTGTAAGGTAATCTCATTCCACACTTGTTTAAGAACAGTGATAATGCATTAGTGACACTTAAAGAAGTAGCTATTTAATGTGATGCCCTCTCTGTGGCTCAGGCCTGTGCATAACTTTTCACTGTGCTCAGTTGCAAAAATGGAGAATCCTTTTCTGAGCAACCAGCTGGGAAGGATTTAATTTGACACTTTCTGTACTAAGACCCCATCCTGTGAGGCTCATTTCCCTCCAACAGTTCCTACAATCTTTTTCTCTTTTCTAAACTCCCTGTTACTAATTTACCCCTCACTGTTCTGCAAAGCAAAACATCTGCAAGGTTTTAAGTCTTTTTCCTCCTCCCAGCCTAACCCATCAGTGTCCAAATGTATGCTACAGTTGTTAAGGTTATAATTGGTTGTGCCATATTGATCTTCTTGCTCTTTTTCGTATCAGAACAATACATTTTTAAGATTTTTTGTTTTCTCTCAGTCACTGGCAGCTGACTATATAGAAGGCTTATTTCTTAATATTACTTATTTCTTAATAAATAGATATGTTTAAGGGAAAACATTGATAAAGGAATAAATATACCCTTCTAACTTTCTTTAGGTACTAGCCTTATTTTCACATTAGGAAGCATGGGACAAGTTGATGAAATTTGGAGCAGTAGTAAAATGCTTACGTGTATTTTTCTAGGCTGGTAATAGATCTGTTGGAATTAAAAAGAAATCTGCTGACATATTTAACCACACAAAATAGTGTCGCTGAAGATTAGGGTTTTTTTTCTGTATTGTGTGTATATGTGTACATGTGAATGTGTGTACATTTTTTAATTGAAGTATAACATACAATGTTTTATTATTTTCAGGAGTATAACATACTAAGTTGAGAATTCTGTATCTTACTCAGTGCTCACCTCAATAAGTGTGGTCACCAAGTGTCACTATACAACATTACTACAGTATTATTGACTATATTCCCTGTGCTGTATTTTTCATCTTTGACTTATTTATTTGTTTTTTAAAAACATTTTATTTAATTTTAATTTATTATGTTAGTCACCATACAGTACATCATTAGTTTTTGATGTAGTGTTCCGTGATGACTTACTTATTTTGTAACTGGAAGTTTGTACCTCTTAGTCCCCTTCACCTGTTTCACCTATTCCCCCATCCACCTCCCCTCTGGCAACCACCAGTCTGTTTGCTTGTTTGTTGAATGTGTACACATTGTTAGGAAAAATCTTTAAACAGTCTGCTAGCTTTTCTGTATTAGAATGTGTAAATAGCATGTAAAATTGGAACTGTGTAATAGATTGAGTTGTGGAAACTCCCTTCTTAGCTCCATATCTCTAAGTAACATATAAGGTTAAATCGAAAGTGTATTGATCTCTGAATTTATAATCAGTTGTTATTAGTTTGCAGAAAAAACTTCAGCATGTGCCAACAACACAGCCTCACCTTGATCAGGTAAAAAACATCTTTAAAAATTTTTTTTAAGGATTTTTAAAAAATAAATTGGTTCTTTTAGGGCTGTTTTCTTTGAGTCTTGCTAAAAAAAAAAGTATTTTTGAAGTGTGTTGATAATTTTCAGAATTTGGATGCTTTTGAGGTAATCTCATCTAGCTTCTTAATGCATAATAGGAATTCATTAAGCCAGACTTCTTTAGAATCTTAAGAAATCATGCTTTCTAGCTTCTCCATTCAATAGGTCACTCTTCTGGTGGGAATCACTGCTTAAAAGCAGCCTGGGGGTTCTATACGCAGCCTGTTTTTAGCTATGTTGAACTAATAGATTAAAGGAAAGTCTGGTAAAAGCATCTATGGCTTATTTAAATGAAAATTTGAGTTTCACTTGCAGATAGCACTGTAAATTTGAATTCCCTAAGGTGTCCTTCATTTAGGTGCTCTATAACTCTAATTCCTGAGGTAAATATTGACGATACTAGGAACAAACAAAACATGTTTTAACTGTACCCATCTTTCTTTTAAGCAAGTCATAGATGGTGGAGGTTTCGGGTAACTTCTTTGTTCCATTGAAACAGGGTGAGAGCAAGGGGGCATGTGAGTGAGCCATGTACTGTCTTCCCTCCTCTGTCTGGAAACCATCACTCACTCTTTTGAAGCAATACTCATTGTGATGGGGCCACTTGTTTGTCTTCAGTTTGGCTCATGTTTATGGGGACCTGTACAACTGTGTTCCTGGCACTTTCCTCTCAGAAACTTCGTAAAATATTCATCTTTGCATGTTTTTAAAATGAGTGAATGAGAGAAATACAATTCCCTGGCTGTGGAATTTTTGGGAAAAACCAACTGTTTACAATACTCAGTAGTAGTCCTAAAGATGAACCAGAAGCATATTCTTACTGACTTTCCAAGTGAGGGACTATCATCCTAGGAGTCATGTAAAAGATGAAGAATGTAGTAGTCTCTTTCAAGAACCTTTATAATGGCCAGTATCTATACCTATGGTATCTTGCACATACCCCTCTCATGGCATTTATCATGCCTTATAATTTGGGTTGAAATGCTTTTTCCTTGTAGTAGTCTGTATACTCCTTAAGTGTAGATTCCTCAATGCTTTGCACAGGGCATGGTATGTGGTGGCTGCTCAGTGAGTATTTGTTAAAAGAATGAAAGCTATGATTCCCAAATGGGGAACATCAGAGTCACTTGTGGAACTTTCTAAAAAATATTGGATCCTCAGTAGTCCCCCCGCCTCATATCTCCAGAAGTGGGGCTTGGGTATGTGCAAATTAATGTGTATGTACATTTTTAACATTTTATTATGGAAATTTGCAAAGATACACAAAAGTACAGAGAATAGCAAAAGGAACCCAGTTGCAATGGCTGTCAACATTTTGCTGATTTTATTTCCTCTGTGTTCCCAATATTTCTTTTGCTGGAGTATTTTTTAAACAGAAAATTTCAAAAATACATAAAAGTAGAGTAGTATAATTAAACTGCAAGTGCCCATTACCTTTGCTGGAGTGTATTAACAGAAATCCCAGACAGTGTGTCATTTCACCAGTAAATAGGGCATGTCTTTTTTTTTTTTTTAAGGCTCTACAGGAGATTCTGATGCACTTTCCTGCTTTAGGTATATAAGAAAGGGTAGTAGAATATAATATTGCAGACAGAGGGCTATGGGATTCAGGGGAATGATGGTCTCCTTCGGTTTAGTGGGTCTATCTTCATGAAAGATACTTTTTTTTAATGTACAGTAAAGCATACAGGTTTTTAGCATACAAGTCAATGTGTCTTTACATATATTTGTGCCTGTGTATCAGTCCATCTGCACACATGGACACATATCTCTGTAACCCTCTCTTAGATCCAGATACAGAAGATTTCCAAAATCGTTAAAAGAGAGTTCCTTTGCGTCTCTCTCCAGTTAGCAACAGTCTTTGCAAAGATGCAACTGCTCTTCTGAGTAAGACATCAAAATGTAGCCTTAAACTAGGAGGTTTTTGTTTGACTGGAAGAAGTAAGGGAAAGAGCAGTCCAGATGTTTAAAAGTGGGAAAGTGAGAATGCTCTAGAAGAGGAAGACTGTAAGTGTAGAAATCTTGGTGGATGCTTGGTATTTGACTCCTAAGCTAAGGTGTTGGGCTTCAATGTGCGGGGGCAAGCAGAACTCACGCTGTGCTGTCCCACAGTGTCAGGTGCGCTGGGTTGTAGCTGACAGCAGGAGACCAAGCAGGAAGATACCCTGTGACAAGGCCCTGGACTGTGTGGGTTGTTGGGGGAATGGAAATGGGATAAATCGAGGGCTGATTCACAGGGAGACTTGCCGGAGTAGCCTTACTGACTGATGCTGGGGCAGTAAGACAGGGGAACTGATGGGAAACAGACCTGATTGACTGGAGGGACCTAGGCGTAGAGAAACCTGGAAGAAACACTGATTTGCAGAGGAATGCTGGACTTTCAGCTTCTTACTTGGTGGCAGGATATCCAGTAGAAATGACTCGGGAGGAGCTTCACATTTGGGGTTGAGTACGTTAATGGGCTCAGTTTTCCAGATGAAGAAAACATGCAGAAGTTATTGCTATTAGGTATTGTTTGCCAAAGAGTAGAACACCCAGGGTAATAACCTGGGAGGTGGACAAAAAAAACAGACCAGAAAACTAAAATTTTGGAGTTATTCCTAAATTTTATTTTAGGGGCAGTACCTTATTTTACTTTCATTTTCTGAATGATTGCTTCGGTTTGCTGCTGCTTTCTGTGTCTGGGAAAAGGAGAGTTAATTTTAGATTCAAAACAAAAACTGGGAAAAAAAAAATACATAGGTAATACGTAGGGCATAGTAGGTATGTTATTAAAGTTTTATCCCTGCATCATCTGTAAGGCAGCTATCTTTCATGGATTCCTTGTTACCTCCCTATAAGGAGGACCCAGGGTTGGAAGGTGAGAAGGCGAGAAAACCCAAATGGCAGTCTGAATAGTTTATTAAATTAGGAATTATGGGTTGTGACCCTTGTCCTCTCCACTGGGAATTTGCGGATTTCATCTTTAAGGTATTGTCTACTGCGAGAAGAGTTGATTGGTACAGAAAAACATCTAGCTCTAAAATGTTTATCTCACTCCTTGAGCCCCTTGATGCATTGTTGTAATTTTTAAAACCCTTTTTATCTCATTTTGGAGTTAATTGTACCCCTTAAAAATATTGTCATATCCCTAACCTGCCGAAAGCAACAGTCACTCCCAGTAAAAATTCTTTAAGCTAGAATAAAACAGTATTGAGTTCCATGTTGAGGCCTTTCCAATATTAAAAGCCAAGTTATCCAACTTGAATAAAATACATTTTAGGCAGTTTTGAAGGTTGAATTGCTACTGTCTTTTGAAAATGACAAGTTATGTTTCATTTAGCAACCTTTTTGCTATGTATTTTGATATGGATTCTTAGGTATTATTTCTAGTGATTGCTTTAAGGGGAAAAGAAAGCTTTTTTTTTTTTTTTTTAAGAAAACTGTTTAAATGCAGTACAACAAATAGTTCAAAGTGTGTTTATTTAGATTTAAAAATAAGTACTTTAAAAAATTTATGGTAAACACATGTGATCTACCCTCTTGACACATTTTTAAGTGTATAGTCCAATATCACCAGCTGATACTGTCTGCGTACTATTGTACAGCACATCTCTAGACCTTTTTCATCTTGCATGACTGAAACTATATTCATTGAACCGCAGTTCCCCATTTCCCTCACCTCCCAGCCAGGCAGCCACTATTCTGCTTTCTATTTCTGTAAGTTTGACCACTTAGATACCTCATATAAGTGGAATCATGCAGTATTTGTCCTTCTGTGACCAGCTTATTTCACTTAGCATGATGTCCTCAAGGCTCATCCGTGTTGTGGCATGTGGCAGAATTTCCTTTTTTTTAAAGGTGAATAATGGTTCATCAACATACCACATTTTTATACTATACTATTATACTACATTTTCTTTGTCCATTCATCTCTTACTGTTATGTTGTTTCATCTCTTGGCTATTGTGACAGAATAAGTACTTTTAAAAATCTGACATTTTAAAGTCAATTTTAGTTGGCTTTCATGTCTCATATTTAGTAAGAAAGTGCTTTTTGCTTTTCCCATTACCAGCAACAGTGGAGACTAAATATCAGCATATTTTGTCCTTAGATTGGTCTTTAGTACTTACCTTTAGCGATCCTCTGTTTGGATAAAAAACAATTTGGTCTTTTCATATTTTCTGCTCTAAGCCTGTGTGCTTTTCCATTGGTGAATAAAATTGCTGTTAATAAATGCAGTTGCAGGAAATGATGCAAAGCCGTGCTTTACTATGTTTTTTTCTTCCTGTTTTAAAGCTTGGCTTGAGCATCTTATCCTAATTATCCAAGGTGGGATTTGTGTTTTCATCATCTTACGCTTAGCCCTTGTGTATTTTCATCATTAGGTTGAAATTTTGGTTACAGGAGCAAATGGAGCTTTGGATTTTAGTTATGTGACCAGCTACAGGAAATCTTGAGCTTCTGGTTCCTTAGAGTGGACAGTGAGAGATTTATCAGGAGCAGGAGGAAAAATAAATCTCAGAGTTAACATTCTAAATGATGTCAACCTTCTCAAACCAAGAGGGACATTATACTATCATTCTCATCTCCAGATACTCTTCTCCTTTGGCACATACATGGTCAGAGATAAACTGAATTTTTCCTTTATATTTTTCCCAGAGAACAGAATTACACTTTCGCATTTGAGTTTTACTCCTGGCTCTGAGTAGTTTATTTTTTCTGAGCCTTATTCCCCCCATTTATAAAAGGGAAATAATTCTCTTTATTCCACAGGATTGTTGTCATGAGTAACTGAAAAGATGAAATGAAGTGACCCAGGCAAGAGTACCTGGCTTGGTACATAGTTGGTACGCTGTAGAGATTACCTTCCCGCTCAGTGCTGAGAGTCCTGCAAAGGATGCATTAAGCCATGAGTATCCTTTCATGGAAGTTTCTCTGTTTAAATACTAACCCACTGATCACCTCTGTGGAATGCAGAAAATGGAATTGCTGCTACCAGAACTCGGCAAGATAGTGAAAAAGATAGACCCAATACAGTTGTCAGGCAGCATACATGTTCATTTATGTTTTTTTGTCTTAAAATATACTGACATTACTATAAAACATACCGACGTTCTAAAAATACACCATTACTATAAAGAAAATCATGATTGATTATCTGTCTTGATTTATAGAGCATTATCACGGTGACATTTGAAGTACGAGGAAATGCAAAGGAAGAAAGTCTGAATGTATTTATTCAGGTGAATGCAGTATTTGGTAATGATTTACCACCTATTGTGTTACTTGGTTGTTGCTGGCAGTGATGGTTGGTCTTACCGAATATGTCACTTGATACAGAATCTTCTGTGGGAGAAGAACGTGCGAAACAAGGATGACGACTACATGGAGGTCATACGGCTAAAGGTGCGGAGTAGGGTCTACACTTTAGTACTTTGGGACAAAGGCCCTTTCCTTTCTTGACTGTGACAGAAAACCTTATTTGGTTTTAAACACAAGCGCTGGTTTTAGTACAAATAACTTTTGTCTGATTTCATTTTTTTTTTCTCATTTCCATTGCTGTGAAAAGAAGCTTTGGAAATCACTGCGTAAAGCGTCATTTATTTGCATAGCTTCATTTGCAGCTAAAACAACCTGTGTGCTTTGAAACATCATCCCTTGTTCTCTCTTCCCAAGTGTTCTCTCTTCCCAAGTGTTCTGAGCAGTTAACCTGGCTAATGAGCTTGACTCGCTGGAACTCTCCTTTCCTTGGCACACAGCTTGGTCAGTTAGGGAAAACTGAATGAATGTCTTTTATTTTTTTTTTTTAAGGAAATGGTGGGGAGGGGTAGAGGGAGACGGAGACAGAGAATGCCCAGCACAAGCCCCACATGGGGGCTCCATCTCACAACCCTGAAGTGAAATCAAGCGTCAGACGCTTAACCGACTGGACCACCCAGGCATCTTTTTGTGTTTAATTTTCCAAGAGAGCTTTATTAACAGAGAAATCACATTAGAAATCTTGCTGCAGCTAAACCTGTGTTGCTTGGCGCATTTAGCAGACACTAAACAGTTATACTATAAACAGTTACAGAAGACTAGAGAAGAATTCTTGCTCTGTATTTGGAAACCCATTCATGTTACGTGGCATTTGGGTATTTATGTCACGGAAGGTGTTTTTTCCAGGGGGCAGTGGTTCTAGTTGTGTGCTTAACCAATCAGCAGTCATTTGTCTACTCCTGTGTTTCCAGAAGTGTGCATAAAGTTTTTATTATTACTATTTGGTATTATTACTGTTAGTAACTAAGTTTTCCAGTTAGCAGCTGACTTCCTGGGTCACTAGAATGACAAAGGTAGAGGCAATCAAGAAACCATTCAGGTTTAGATTTCTTTACTCCCCATGCGGCCCTACCTGGGATTGGCTTCAGAGCAACATGGGTGAGTCTCAGTCTGTTCCCCAGTCATTCCCACCCAGAGGAAGTAAGCGTGGGCTTTCCTGACTGCAGCACCATCTACATTCCATGATCCTAAATGACAGGGTGTATTTCATTCTGTGACTGCTTTTGTCCCCTGCTCCTGAATGCGGGGTGGTCCCTACAAAGCAGACCTTGGGGCACGTATACTATTGCTGCCACCGAGACCTCCACACAGAGCTCCAGGGCGCATCCTGCACCAGCCCAGCGTGGATTTTGTCCTCAGGTGCGGGACGGTTTTTCTGCGGTTGTCTATCCTCTTTGGTTCTTCTCTTGGCCTTCCTCTCAGCACAGCGACACTTCGAGATCTGGGGCAACACAGCCTTCACCTTCATAGACTTCCTTCTTTTCTGGCTACAAAATGTTAGTGTGATAATGATGAACATGTTTAAAATGTTCACTCAGGGAGGCGCCTGGGTGGCTCAGTCAGTAAAGTGTCTGCCTTGGGCTCAGGTCATGATCCCAGGGTCCTGGGATCGAGCCCCACTCTGCTCAGTGGGGAGTCTGCTTCTCCCTCTGCCTGCCGCTCCCCCTGTTTGTGCTCTCTCTCTCTGTCAAATAAATAAATAAAATCTTTTAAATAAAATAAAATACAACGTTCACTGAGGTAGCAGCTAACACTTCAAATTCTTTATACAAGTAACAGAAAATTGATGTTTAGATAATTCTTTCCAAGGAGTTACTACGTATTAAAATTCAAATTTGAAAAGCAGAAATCAAATCATGTTGTACACCTTAAACTAATACAATGCTGTATGTGAGTTTTATCAGTAAAACTAGAGAAAAACAGAAAACAGAAGTGGGCAAAGGAAAACAGGAAGAACATACACTTAAATACATAAATATGCCAAAAACACACAAAGCTAATGTAGCAAGAGTGACTATGAGTGGTTTGTCTCTTACTGTTCTGCATTAATTTTATAACAAGCATAACAACATTATTTCAGAGAAATTATTTTATCCCCGGAGGGGCCGGTTTATCAGATAACTTGTTTCTCATTTCTGCAAATCAATAAAAAATGAACTTTATCCAGACAATGTTTCCTTTCCTTTATTCCATCATTCCCTGCACCATTCACAGCAACCCAGTCAGAATTATCGCCCGAGTACTTAAACCTCTCAAGTTTTCCCACAAAAACTGTGAAACAGGTGTAAAATCCTTAAAGTAGAAACATCAGTAGAATTCGATGCATGTTTTATCATTTGGTTGTTTAAATTTTTGGTTGTCATAACACTGAAAGGACATCCTAATACATATATTTTATTGTTAGAAAAAGGGATTATTTAAAAAAAAACATTGTGCACATAAACCTTTTTTAAAAATTGGAGACTTTAGAAACTATTTCTAGAATGCACAAATAAATGGATTTAAGTAATTTTAACAGCATCTTCTTTATGCGTGTGTATTTAAAATGGAATAGGAATAATTCATCCATAAACATTGATGGTCAGTTTCTGCTTTAAATTTGAACTGCAGCTGATTGAACCCTCTCATCTGAGCAGGGGCTGGTGTCGATCAAAGACAAACCAAAACAGGTGATTGTCCAGGGTGTCCACGAGCTCTACGATCTGGAGGAGACTCCACTGAGCTGGAACGATGACACCGAGAGAACAAATCGATTGGTTCTTATTGGTAAGTGACAGTTAAATTTCTAAAATATATATTTGAAAGTGATACAGTATGCTATTTAACCAGTTTTAACCAGTCTCAGCCCCTTTTGTCAACCTAACTAAGCTTGTGGTTAATGTATTTGTCTTCATGATGTGATAACATTCATAAGAACTTGTTAAGGCATTTTACTCCTCTTCAAATGTAGAAAAGTAATTAAAATGCCAATTTGGTTCTGAGGGACTTAATTAGAAATAGGAAGTTAAGGGAAGGGATCACTGATTACTTAGTTTTTGTAAATTTCTGAAGATTATCAAGTTGTTAATGATTTGGAATTGATAGGCAAACTGTTGTTTTAATAAGCATCATGTAATCACACCGTATTCTGTTTGCAGGCAGGAATTTAGATAAGGAGATCCTCACACAACTATTTATAGCTACTGTGATGGAAACAGAAAAGCGGTGGACAACACATTTCAAAGAAGATCAAGTTTGTCCATAACACTGGAAACATTTCTTATCCGAGGGACTGGGTGATAAATCGGGATTAAGTTTCCTACTGGGTGTATTTCAAGCATCTATTTTTTGCATTACTTCTGTTGTGAATTCTGGCGTACTTTAAAATAGTGTTTATTTTATGGAACACACAAAATGTAGTAAATAAGTACTTAAAACATTTGACATTCTTACAATAAAACATAATGTCCTCTAAAGTGTTTTTTGTTTTTTTGAGAGCGAGTGCATGGGAGATGTGCACGTGGAGGAGGGGCAGAGGGAGAAGGAGAGAGAGAATCCTAAGCAGTCTCCACGCTCAGCATGGAGCCCAATCAGGGGCTCAATCCCAGGACCCTGAGATCATGACCTGAGCCGAAATCAAGAGTTGGACACTCAACCACTGAGCCACCCAGGTGTCCATTTTTTTTTTTTTTTTAAATAGATGTTTCACAAAAGTATCTTTTGTGAACTGGCTTTGAAATTAACATATGCTGAACTTTTTATCCATGGAAGTTATTTATAATCATAACGATAAAACTTAACTTTCACGTTCTTTTTTTCCCTTAGAACTACACTGATTGCATAGATAAAATTTTATGGTTATTAACAAAAATTATTTAAAAACAGTATCACCTGGCAGGGAGCCTGCTTCTCCCTTTCCAGCTCCCCTGTGCTTGCGTTCCCTCTCACTATCTCTCCCTGTTGAATAAATAAATAAAAGTAAAAACAGTATCATCATTTTTATTAAATGAAATAAAAATCTTGATGTGGCTAGAGACTTATGAGTGGAAGAAATCTGAGTAAAAAATTAAAGCCATCTCCTAGTCAATTCTAAGCTTTCCTGTAGAGTAATGTAACTTCCATTTACTTCATAATATATTTAGATGATTCCAATTTTAGAGCTTTTAATTTTAAGTAGAATTTACTACTGGTATTAAATTCATCATGATTTCTTTGAACTTCTTTAATTTTCAGTATAAGCAAAAAAGTGACAGGGTGCAAAACTTCAGACGTAATTGCAGATAAATTAGAATAATTTAACCATCTTTATATCAGTGGTTGGTGTGTAAATGTACAGTGGCCTACTTATGTCCTATTCTTACTAAAGGCCAGGTCAGCATAACTGTATTCAGATTGTAAGAGAAAAAAGCATTAGATGGGATTTAAAGAAGAGCTTTCCCAAACTAATGATTATTAAATATCAGAAAGCTATCAAAATGCCCTTTGGAATTTTTTTTTCCAGAATTTTAAGTAAAAGAGTTATCTCTCTGTATCTTGAATGGTTCCAGTGTTTGGAGGCAGGCCGGTTGATTAGATTATCTGTCTCTCGGGGCGCATGGGTGGCTCAGTCAGTTAAGTGTCTGCCTTGGACTCAGGTCATGATCCCAGAGTCCTGGGATTGAGCCCCAGGTCAGGCTCCCTGCTCAGCTGGGAGCCTGCTTCTCCCTCTCCTGCTCCCTCTGCCCTTCCCCCTACTCGTGCTCTCTCTCTTTCTGTCAATGAATAAATATAATCTTAAAAAAAAACTTACCTGTCTCCTCCCCTGCATTCTTTCCCTTTTTAAATAAAAGGTCTCTATATTTATCCGTTTGCCTCCTGAATCCATTCTTTTAAATTCATGGTTGAGAGAATAAGCTTGCTTGGTGGCAGCAGATTGCCCAATAGAAACTCAGCTGATTTTTGAGTCTGATCTGGGCTTTAGTTCCACTTCTGCTTCTTGGCTGTGTAATCTTGGGCAAAGTATTTTCTTGAGATTGGTTTCTGTTTTTATTTTTTTTATTTTTATTTTTTTTTAAAGATTTTATTTATTTGACAGAGAGAGAGCACAAGTAGGCAGAGTGACAGGCAGATGGAGAGGCAGAAACAGGCTCTCCGCTGAGCAGGGAGCCGGATGTGGGGCTCGATCCCAAGACCCCAGGATCACGTGGATAGTCATAATATCAATCATTCAAGGTTGTGAGGATTGAATAGGTTTCTAATGCACCCAACTCAGCTCCTGGCCCACAGCAGAACCTGGATAAATTTTTCTTGTTCCTAATAACTTAAACTTGATTTATTTTATAGTTAATGTTGCCATAATCATACTCCGTAATGTTCTTTGGCAAACAGTAAGTATCTAGATACATCTATTCTAGGCCATGAGAAAGAGCTTACTTATTAATTGTCCTGTTGTGGGAGAAATGTTTGAAGTAATATTAATACATACTCTTAAAAGTCTGTCTTTATCAAACTCACAAATATTTGTTTTTTCTTTAAAATGTATTAATCTTGGGGCGCCTGGGTGGCTCAGTCATTAAGTGTCTGCCTTTGGCTCAGGTCATGATCCCAGGGTCCTGGGATCGAGCCCCGCATCGGGCTCCCTGCTCAGCGGGAGGCTTGCTTCTCCCTCTC